AACCCTCCAATCCAATCTGTCATCCCCAGTTGGAGTCTATCCATGGTGTTACATGTGCTGACAAAGCTGCCATTTGAACCACTTACAACTGTGGACCTGCACCTCTTTTCTTGGAGGGCTCCTTCTTGTTGGTGGCAATCACTTCAGCTTTCAGGGTGAGCAAACTTTGCAAACTACGGATAGATTCTCCATATCTGACCTTACATAAAGAAAAGGTAGTCCTCCACATTGATCCATCCTTCCTCCCTAAGCTATCATCCTCCTTCCATATCAGCCAAGAAATAGTGCTTCCAGTCTTTTACCTGTCACCATCTACAGACATTGAAAGGGTGCTCAACTTCATCACATGATGGCTTCTTATCAGTCCTGAACCAAGTTGTTTTGCAAAACAAAGCGACTGTCCATCAAGTATGCAGACCATTCTGAAGGACAACTGGTTGGGTCCCAACTTCTCACACACTGGATCATAGAGACAATTAAGTTAGCGTACCAGGTAACAGACTTGGACTTGCCAGATCGCCCTAGGGCTCATTCCATCAAAGTGATGTTGACAACAGCGGCCCTCCATGCTGGACTACTACTGGACACTCTGTGTGGAGCAGCTGTGTGATCAACACCATCCATGTTTTTCCATCACTATTGGCAGATTGTGAGAGCCAGACAAGACTGCTCTTTTGGTTGAGCTGTGTTGTACTCTATTCTCCTGTAACGTTACCTCCCACCTCTTTTAATGGTATGCTTGCTGTGTGTGGTGCACAGAGACCATGATGAAGAAAGGCAGGTTGCATACCTGTAGCTGTCGTTCTTCAAGTGGTCATCTGTGCATTCACAGAACCCACCCACTGGTCCCATGTTGGTGTCAGTGGATATTCTCTCCTTTTACCTACTATTTACATAGTGATAGGACAGTTAGGGACCTACACATAGGGAAAATGATGGTCTCCAGTTGGACTGAGAAAGTGGCAGGAGCCCACCTATTTATATAATATGGCGGGGGGGACTCCTGCAAAAAAATTCTAGGCTTAGCTATATGAATCTATGAGACATGAGAGTGATGACACTAATTATGAAGGCCTCCAAACTGTAGGCAATGTGTTGTTATGGCCATCTGGATCCAACTGGTTCTTGGCCCTACTAGTTGAGTGGTGTCACTAGCCAACCTGCTGTAGCTCTGGCTTGTCCATACCTACCATCCCATGGACAACTCCCAGTGGCTGTGCCTTCTGATGTTGGCAGCAATTTGTTCCAGTCTGGTGGATGTGCTGCTCCCTTTGCCCCTCTGAATGAACTTTCATGGTCATGATAGACGCCTTCTGGTCTGGTGGGGAGCTCACTGTGGTCCACTGAAGACCAAAGGACATGGAACATCTGTAAAGGCCACAAGCATATCAGCTACCTAGAAATGCTTGCAGTAAAGAAGGCACTTGCTGCATTCCAAAAGTTCCTGCCTGGTTACCACATCCAGATTACCATGGACAACACCACAATGGCTTTCTACATAAACAAACAAGAGGGCACCCAATCTATCTAATATGCCTAACTATCTGTCTCTGGAAATGGTGTGTCAGCGGGGATATTACTTTCAACTGCCATTTATATTTCTGTGACCAGCAACACCCTGGCTGATACCTTGAGGCAACTCAACCCTATAGCAATAAACAAGATCTTTGAATCATGGGGGACCTCCTCCATCAATCTGTTTGCCACTTAGGACAATACAGTAGGCAACAGCTTCTGTTCTCAGGAAGATGCCCTCCTGCTGAGTTGGACAGGAACTTTCTTTTACCTTTTTCCTTCCCTCTGATAATGAAAGCTAAGGTTCTTCAGGATGTCACAGACAGCATCTTAATAATCTCTTGGTGGCTGAGACAAGCTTGGTGTGCCCTTCTACAGAAGATGTCCAGCTGTACCTAAATCCAGCTCCTGTTGAAACCAGACCTGATTTCTCAGGATTTGGGGAGAATTCTACACCCAAATGTCAGCACTCTGCACCTAACAGCATGGAGGATCTGTTAGTAGGGTGCATAGATTCTGACCTTTCATAGGAACTTAAAGCCATTCTGGATGCAGCTTTGAAACCTTCCACCAGGCGGTCATACAGTAAAAAATAGAGAGGCTTTTTGTCTTTTGAAGTGACAGAAGACTTCAGTCCACATTGGTGCATAGCTAAACAGGTCCTCCTGTTCCTTAACACCTTTGTTCCAGTGGAGCCTTAAGTCTTCTATCTGTGTCTATCTAGCAGCAATTTTTTCCTTCCACGACCTGATCTAGGGTTTGTTGGTTTTCTTGGACCCCTTGAGTGGCCTCTGAGGGCTAAAAATACCACTCCATTCTCATTTCTTAATGCTAACTTGGAACCTCTCTGTCATTCCACAGGTTCTCATGAGAAAATCATTCAAACCCATGGCAATAGTCAATGTCCATTTACATTCAGGAAAGTTGTTTTCCTGGCAGTAATTACATTAGCTTGATGTTTTAGCAAAATATGTGCCCTATGGGCTAATCCTTCATACCTTGTCATCCACAGGGACAAGGTGGTGTTTCCTGTCCCTTCCTTTCCTCCAAAAGTTGTTTCTTTTTTTCACTGAATCAAGACATCATTTTACCAGCATTTTTTGCTTCCCCATCAGACCTGATGCAGTCTACACTGCATACTCTAAACTTATATAGAGTGTTGGAAGTCTACTGGTCTAGAACTTAATTCTTCTGTCAATCCCAAAGACTTTTTATTTATCACAGAGGCAAGAACAAAGAACAGCTCCTATCACCACAAAGACTAGCAGCCTGGGCAGTAAGGACAATCTCCCAGGTACATGAACTGCCCAGACTGCAGCTTCCTGTACCACCAAAAAACACACTCCATATGCACAATAACTATGCCAGCTGTTCTGCACACTGGGATCCTTCTGCAAAGCAGTCACTTGTCAACTCCTTCAGCCTTCATGAGGAATTAAAAACTTTATTTCCATGCCAGTCTTGACTGCCTTTGGCAGGGAAGTCCTGTCTTCAGTGCTTTGATAATGAAACTGTCCCACCATTCAATGTCAAGTAAGCTTTCAAGGCACCCATATGTGTGATACACAGAGATCACAAAGAAGAAAGCTAGGCTGCTTACCTGTAACTGTTGTTCTCTGAGTGGTCATCTGTGCATTCACACTACTCACCCATGAGTTGGTCATGCTGTACCTCTACCCTTTTCCTTATAATGAAATGGGGCTATATGTATCCCAAATACATCTAGATATGGTTCAGTTAAGTTTGAGGTCAGTAAAAATTATGCTCCCTCTGTCCTGAAGTCACAAAGGCCACCTCAAGTGAGCCCAGGTGCATCATGTGTGCCCAGATGACCGCTTGAAGAACAGCAGTTACAAGTAATCCACTTGCCTTTTTCTAATTTTCTTGACTTCTTTCCCATAAAAGAAATGGCCAATGTTGAGTCTGTGTTTTGAATCTGCCTGCCTGCCTCTCTTTTAAATAATCCAAAGCGGCAAATATGCATTCTATGGATATTGACATTGGAAGAAATTTGCTTAGAAAACTAAACTGTGTTCATCTTTACTCAGCAGTTAGTCCATAAGTAGAGCTTATTCCTAGGAAAATGAATATTGGATTATAACTTTTCTTTGAGATGTCTTTTTCTTTCCTCTATTTCTAAAAATGACCAATGAACAGTTGGTGGTTATTTGCTTTCAGAGAACTCTATCATGCATATCACATCACCTGAATATGGGTTCTGTCTTAAAATCTGGTGTGATTCTTTGGGCAGTCATTTTCTTTGGATCTGCGGTGGCTTTAGTCTGCCTTTGGCTGGCTTATAAACCAAACTGTGGCTGACTTGAGAGTTTCATAAAACATGCCAAGCTCCCCCACCTCCTCTATCTCATTGTGTTATGCAAACCAGCCACCATCTAGGAGCCGTAGGGTCACTCCATAAGCTGACAATTTAACCAGATTTTCTGCTCTTGTTCTAGAGTTCACCAATTCTAATCCCATTAACCCATCTGAAAAAAGTTTCAAAAAGTTTGAGAGGATTTTTATGATAAGGGGAAAATCTCATAGAGTAAATACATTTACACTATAAAAACAAACAAAAGGTTTGTCTTGGATATTTAAACATAAATCATGAATCAAGCAAAACCTCCCCCCCACACACATCTCAGTAGATGACCCTCCCATTCTGTTTCTTAAGAAATGATTTCTGGTAACTTTAACTTCTTTTTTCTTAGCAATACCTAGTGATGTGCATGCTTGGAAAATTGCCCAGAAAAAAGATCAAGATTTTTTTTCCAAGCCTGCTTTTGTATTTTTCCTAAGAAATCACAAAAATTGAACCACTTTGGATTATGAAATACTTTATTTTAGAATTTTAAAAAGGTGCATATACTGAGCCTTTACATTTCCCCATGAGTTCTAAAAACGCTATAATAATAAAAGCTATGCATTAATGTGTATGAGAGCCAGTGTGATGTAGTAGTTCAGAGTGCAAGACTATCATTCCAGACTTTTTTTGATAGTGAGAGGTAGTCAGGGGGTTGGTGGTTGGATTCATTTCATGGGTCTACCCCACCTCCCCAATCTTGCATTCAGAGTTAATTAGAAATGATTTCTCAAAAATGTGCTAATCATGTTTTCTTCCAACTGAGCAGTGGCTTAAACTAGGGGTGGAGCTGCACTTCTTGGCCCTACCCTTCATTTTCCTGTCCTTGCTCTGTGGAATGGCATGATCTGCAGAGGTGTTCTAACTACCTTTACTTGAATGCAAGAACATCCCTTCAGGCCTGGCCATTGAACACAGCAAGTTCAGGTAAGTGAGGCGTGGGGCCCATGTGCACACTCCTGTCACCCAGTTAGGTCCTCAAGCTTTCAAGGGAAGGTATGAAAAATGCTCAAGTGTTACCAGCATACTGTGCTTAGAGGAATGGAAATGGAAAGGAGGTTAATATGTTATCTTTTAAGTAAAAATGTCTGAAAACTTTTACAATTTCTTATTTAACTTTTAGGAGAGTGGTGTTTATTTCTGTGGGGTAAAATATATTGAAGATGGTCTAACGCTAACTGAGGCAGAGTCAGATGCTCCAGCTCCTCATTATCAGATAATTGAAGAGAACATTAAGATCCTCCAAGAGGAGGAGGTTGAATTCATCAGTGTGCCTGTTCCAGAATTTGCAGACAGTGATCCAGCTGATATTGTGCATGACTTTCATAGGGTAAGGATCATTTAAAAAGCACTGGCATACCTTTGTTTGTAGCCACCTTTATTACATACTTGAAAGTGGGCTTTCCAGAAAGCAGATATTTCAAAACAGCAGTAGTCACATAAAGGCACCCTTGTTCTAAAGTTTGTAAACCACGTATTGGACAGTTATTCATAGAGGGGAATTGCTAGTATATGTTGGGTATGGAATATGGAAAGGCCACAGCTTGTAGCCCTTCATCAAGCCCCAATTCTCTTCCCTAATTCTTGTTCTAGACAAGGAAATAATAGAAAACTTTCAAATCTCTGCTGTACCCCAATACTACAGAACATCCCAAATGCCCAAGCAGAAATGCTCATATTGTTGGTTTCAGTTAGTTTCAAACTATGCAATGCTTATTTGGCAGTCATAGAGGACACTGTTTCCCTGCTGTGCGCTCGCGCGCGCGCGCGCGCGCGCGCGCGCGCTCTCTCTCTCTCTCTCTCTCTCTCTCTCTCTCTCTCTATATATATATATATATATATATTTATTCTGTAGCATAGGATGGGAAAGAAAGTTTCTAGCCTTGTGACATACACCCTCACTCCTTCTGTACCTCCATTGCATGTTTCTAGGTAAAGTATTCTAACCTGTAACCATAAAAGAAGCTATCTTTTCTTCATTACCATTTTTTCCTAGGGAGACAGGGAAGAGTTATAAATAGAAGATCATACCATCTGGAGCACTTCCTCCCTCTGTAAAATGTTCTGCTAATTTGTACTCGCTCAAAAGTGGCAAATCCAGGAGTTCTTTTCTTTGGCATTAAACACGAACCCAGGGTTGCCCTTCAAAACAGCAGGTTGTGGCCAGAAGTTTTCTTTCTGTCAACCAGAGGTTCAAAATTTCTACCCATTAAGTAAGCTACCAGAATCTGTCTGGCTGTCCCCTATAGAAGAAGGGGGAAATGCTTTAGGAACAGGTTCTCCCATGTCTGTAATGGAACCTTTATTCTTAAAGCATCCTTAGAATAACTAGGAAGGGTGTTCAAAGGCTCCTATCAGCTTTCTAGGATATGGGAGGTTACTGTATGGTGGGAACCATAGAGCCTGTTCCTAGAACTTTTTTTTAACCTTTTCCTCACTGGGATTTCCCCCCCTAAAAAAGTTACAGGTAGAAGTGTGTGGGACATTAGGATATGTAAGACAGTGGATTACCAATTGAAGGAGGGCTAAACACCAAGATTCCTAGATGATCGGGACTTCTGATTTTATCTGATGGAAGCAGGTGTTCTCAGGAAGAAATTAGATTTGAGTAAGAGGTGTGTGTAAGTTTTATGTTTTGTTTGTGTATGTGTGTGGGTGTGCAGACTGCAGTTGAAGAGGGTGTACAACCCTGCTCTAGAGTAACCTTCACATAAAATGGGACTGGAACTCAGTGCAGAAATTTAGAGCCTTGCATATTTATCTGAGACTCCCCAGAATGCTGAACTATTTATCACAAGTGTGTTGAATTTTAAAAAATCACATGATCTATTCTTTGAATGTCATCCACAGTTTAAATTTATTTAAACGTGGCTTGGGATGCAAGGAATTAGAAGGATTTTACTGGACATAGTAGGCATGTCCTGAGTGGAGCCGGCTGGAGCCGGGGGTCAGACTAGATGGCCCAGGAGACCCTTTCTGACTCGCTCTGTTTCTATGTTTCTACGAATACTCTCAGTTGTTTAGATATAATGCCCATAGACCAAGCAGTTACAATCTGAAAAATTCTAGTGCATCTAAAGTATTTGACTTTGATAAACCAAAACTTTTAAATACCAGTAAGGTATGTTTTACTGTGTTTTGCAATTACTATTTTAGGCCTGGAACACACATACACTGGAATGAGGTGATGGAGACCTCAGGTGGTAGAATATACTACTGCACTTCAGGCTACAGGTGATGGATTACATTTTTGGGTGCTCCTCTATGTGAAAAACTCTCTGCAAAAAGGAAACTGACACAGTCAACTGGGCTTAATTCCCTGATGTACTAGGGGGTTTTTGCCTTTTTTTTATCTAAAGGAGCATTGAAATGGTATCTGAAGTAGAATAGACATTCTGCAAAATATTTAGATACTCAGTCTTTCAAATATATAGCAGGAAAAATAAGTAAATTGGAATGTAATACTCATATATAATTTTTCATATCATAAAATAAGTAACAAGATATTAATGTAATTTCTTTATCAGAGACTTACAGCTTATCTTGATCTCAGCCTGGATAAGTGCTATGTTATTCCTCTGAACACGTCAGTTGTAATGCCACCCAAAAACTTCTTGGAGTTGCTGCTCAACATCAAGGTATGGCTAAATTACAAGCATCTGTTGAGTATATTCAAAGAATATGTAACCTTATTAAACTTTAAAATTGCAGGTGTAAAATGCTATTCCACCTTCTGGAGACAGTGTCTTAGTCGGATATGGGGAACAAGAGCCTTGCAGTGGTTCAGCTCATATTTGGATGGTTGTTTGCAAAAGATCATGGTAGGTCACATCGGTTTGACCCCATGGCTTTTATGTTCCCCATGGTTCTTAATCCCCTTACTTTCTAATATCTACATGGAACCATACAGTGAGATCATTCAGATTTAAAGTACAGCATCACCAGTACACTGATGATACATAACTCTATTTCTCCTTTTCATCCATGTAACTTCTTAATTAGTGTCAAGTCATTGCAATGGATTGAGGGCCACTAAACTGAAGCTCAATCCAGATAAGAGGTAGGTAGTATTGATGTCTGCCTGCCTGCCTAGTTTCAGTGACCTATGCTGTAAAAGCTGAGGCATGGGCAGCGGCTGGGACAGGCAGAATGCTGGAACCAGGACACCTCTGCAAGGAAGGGCTTCACAACCAGCTGGGAACATGAAATAAGTGCAAGTTACCAGTCCAAAGTCGAAGCCAGAGGAGAAGTTCAGTTATAGCAAGGTGGGAAGAAACCAGAAACAAACTGGAGTAGGGCTGGAGTAAAGCAGAGATGTAGGGGCCAGAGCAGAAGGAGTCACCAAGACAACTTATGTTGTTGTAGCAAAGAGCAGCAGTGCCCGAGAGCCTTTTGGGCTGGTCTCCAGGGCCTCCAGCTGCACTGCATAATTGTTCCTCAGGTGTTCCCTTCAAGTGCCAGCAAGAGTGTTCATGGTTCTTCATTTACTTGCAGGGTCACTCAGGCCCAGGTCCTGATACATGCCCTAGTAACCTCAAGGTTAGTTCATGGCAATGCATTTCATGTAGTTTGCCCTTAAAGGTGGTCCAGAACTTCAGTTAGAACAGGAAAATAGATTTCAAAAATTAAATAAGGACATCGCTAATGAATTTTCTTAGATTTACAAAGCACTTTGTGTATCTGCTAATTCTGATGTAATCACTGGTTTCTTGCTTGATTTGGATATGAATGAATTTATCACTGCAGATAAGGCTGTGTTAAATGCAAAACGTATAGAGGAAGAAGTCCTTTGCTAAAAGATTTTTGCTGAATAGAAAGATTTTTGATACTAGAATAGATATTAAAATTATAAAATAACATATGCAGGTAAAATTTTGTTGACAGTAATGGCAATTAGTTCGAAATTTTTATTGATTGTAAATGCATATTAAATATCTGGATAAAAATTAATGTTACATAATTCAACAAAATTTATGTATATTCAGTTGTTATTACATTGCATTTATATCCTGTCCATTTTTCTTATGTGAAAAACCCAGAGCGACTTACACAGAAACAGAGTGAGTCAGAAAGGACCTTCTGGGCCATCTAGTCTGACCCCCAGCTCCAGCCGGCTCCGCTCATGACATGCCCACCATGTGCATGTCCAGCCTATCTTTGAACACCCTCACCGATGGGGCCTCAACCACTGGAAGCCTATTCCATACCCTCGGGGTCCTAACTGTCAGGAAGTGCTTCCTCGCATCTAAATGGAACCTTGGTTCCCTGAGCTTTGCTCCATTGGAGCGCGTCCTGCCTTCCTCTGCAGGAGAGAACTGGTCTCTACCCATCTCTGTGTGACATCCCCTCACATACCTGACTGTCACCAACATATCCCTTTGAGTTTTCTCCAGGCTGAAGAGAACTAGTTCTCTCAGTCTTGCCTCATACGGCATCCCTTACAAACCGGCCACCAAACTTGTGGCCCTACGCTGCACTGACTCTAACCTGGCTATAGCCTTCCTGTAATGAGGGGCCCAGAACTGAGCACAATACTCCAGTTGCAGGTGCACCAGACTCGTATAGAGTGGTAGTAATACCTCTCTCGATCTAAAAGCCACACTTCTGGCTATGCAACTAAGGGTGGCGTTTGCTCTCTTAACCACCGCATCATACTGCTGACTCATGTTTAGCCTGCAGTCAACTAGTACCCCGAGGTCCCTTTCACAAGTGCTGCTCTCCAGCCACTTGTCCCCTAACCTGTATGTATGACACCTATTCCTCTGCCCCAAGTGCAAGACCTTGCACTTATCCATATTGAATGCCATCCTGTTGTCTCCTGCCCACTTCCATAGTCTGTCCAGATCCTGTTGGATCTGGAGTACCTGCTCCTCAGTTGTGGCCTCTGCTCCAGTTTTAGTATCGCCTGCAAATTTGATCAGCAGACTGTTCACCCCCCTTCTTCCATGTCATTGATGAAAAGATTAAACAGGATCAGCCCCAGGACAGAGCCCTGGGGGACCCCACTTGTCACAGGCCACCATCCCAAAGATTCCCCACTAATGGTTACCCCTCTGCTTTTGGTCAGTCAACCATGCCCTAATCCATCGGAAAGTGCTTTGGTGTATCCCACAACTCCTCAGTTTCTCCACCAGGATATCATGGGGCACTTTGTCAAAGGCCTTGCTGAAATCCAGATAAACCACATTCACTGCATCCCCTCCATCTAGCCATCTCGAAACCTTGTCATAGAATTCCACAAGGTTTGTCTGGCAGGCCCTGTTTTTGCGGAAGTCATGTTGTGTGGCTGTCAGCCTCCCTTCCCTATCTAGCATCACTAGATCTCTCTCTATTATGAGCCTTTCCATTGTTTTTCCTACAATGGACATAAGGCTAACTGGTCTGTAATTCCCCATGTCCCTTTACTACCCTTTTTGAAAATTGGGACACTGACGCCACCCTCCAGTCCTCTGGAACTTCACCCATTCTCCACGAGGCCTCAAAAATGGAGGCCAGCGGGTGTGAGAGAAACCCTGCCAACTCTCTAAGTACTCTTGGGTGTAACCCGTCAGGGCCTGGCGCCTTTGTAATGTCCAATGCCCTGAGGAGCCCCTCTACTTCTAGGGAGGTGACTCTAATCTGTGCCCCTAAGTCCCCAGCCTCATCTAATCTCCTGTGCGGATATCCCCTGTCCTGCTTTGGGGAGAACACATAGGCAAAATAGTCATTTAGCATCTGTGCCTGTTTCCTCATATCAGTCACTAGACCTCCTTCCTTCTTATTTACATGCTGATAGAAGCCCTTTTTCTTGCTCTTAATATTCTTGGCAAGTCTCAGCATGTAATCAGCCTTAGCCTTGCGAAGAATCCTTCTGCAATGGGCCTCCTCCTCCCGGTATACCCTTTTGTCTATTTGTCCCAGTACCCATTTCCTACAGAGGTTCCTCTTTTGTCTAATCCCTCTAGCCACCTCCTTTTGCATCCATCGCGGCACTCTCCTCCGCCTCCCCACCTTACTGACTAGAGGTATCGTCAAGGCTTGCGCCTCCAAAACCTCCCTTTTGAGTGCCATCCACCCCTCCTCAACTCGCTTACTTTCTAGTAACCTATCCCAGGAGACTTTCCCCAGTCTGGCCTTCAGTTGGCCAAAGTTGGCCCTCTTGAAGTCCCAGCTTCTAGTGCTCGACCTGCTGCACGTCCCCAGTCCCCTGATCTCAAAGCAAAGCATGCAGTGATCACTTGCATCCAGAGCTCCCCTAATCTGTACTTCATCTATCAGCTCCTCCCTATTGGTCAAGACCAAGTCAAAGATGTTTTCCCCCCTCGTCACCTCTCGGACCCTCTGTGTGAAAAACCCTCCCTCTATAGCTTCTAGGAAGCGATGTGACCTGGCTGTCACTGCCGAGTGAGTCTCCCAAGTAATATCCGGGAGATTGAAATCTCCCATAATTACTGTGTCTCTCCCTCGAGATATCCTTAGAATCTGGTCTGTCATGACATCATCCAGGGTCTCATGTTGACCTGGAGGGCAATAACATACCCCCACTGTCAGGTCCCTTTCCCTGTCAAAACCCCTAAGTTTCACTCAGACTGCCTCTACCGAATCCCCATCCGTGCTGCATTCTATCTCACTGTATCCTATCTCTTCCCTGATGTATAAAGCCACGCCCCCACCTCTCTTTCCCTTCCTGTCCTTTCTAAAAAGGTGATACCCCTCTATGTTCACATTCCAGTCTTGCCTTTCATCCCACCAAGTTTCTGTGATTCCACCAGGTCATACCCTCCTATTCCCAGGAGAGCTCCAAGCTCTTCCTGCTTATTACCCATGCTCCTAGCATTAGTGTACATGCACCTCAACTCCTTCCCACTGCTTCCTTTCCTTGTAGTCCCCAGCCTCCCCCTACCTCCCATCCTCCCTGATACCTGGCCCCTCTCTGTAGGAGTCCTGTCAGTCCCTGCAGTACCTCTAAAACCCTGCTCCCAGAGCCCTGATCCTCTTTCCACACTCGTCCAGTGCAGACATGTTTCTGGGGGGGCCTGAACTCCCCCCCCCCCGGCTCAGTTTAAAGTCTTCTGGATGAAGCTCGCTAGAGCATCTCCAAAGGACCTTTCCCCATCCTCGTGAGGTGCAACCCGTCCCTTGCCAGAGGTGCATTGGCAAGAAACTGGGAACCTGAAGCGTTCCTTCTGGCACCACACCCTAAGCCAGTCGTACACCTCGGCAACCCTCCTGTCCCTACCTGGCCCAAATCCCCGGTCTGGTAAGATCGATGAGAAGTCCACTTGGGCCTTTAGCTCCCTGAGTTTCTTCCCCAAGGCCTTGAAGTCCCTGGTGATCCCAACCACGCCCTGCCTGGCTACGTCATTTGTGCCCACATGGATCACCAGGAGCGGCTGGTGACCCCCAGAGCGAACAAGACGCTCCACTCTGTCCTTCACATGCTGGATGCTTGCACCTGGCAGGCAGCAAACCTCCCTCGTCTCAAGGTTGGGGCGGTGCACCACCGCCTCAGTGCCCCTCAGCAGGGAGTCTCCAATGACAATCACCCACCTCCGTGTCTTCCCGGTGGTAGTGGGTGGCTGCGACCTGGCCCTCGCCTCTCCCTTGCCAGTTGCGGTTCCAGTCCTGCTGGTCCCCCCTCATCAGCCCCAGCCTCCCCAAGCGGAGAGGACCTGTTTCCCAGCTCCAGATTGGTGCCAGGAGAAGGAGGAGGCCAGCATGCCCCCATGTCTCCCCGGCTCCTCCTCCCGTGGCCCCTCCCTCAACCCTCTGTCCAGAGCAGGGCTGCTCCTGGGGGGCCTGGAGTGCTCTCTCGGCCCTCAGGCACCTCAACTCCTCCTCTAGCAGGACCCCCAGCTTGCACCTAGGGCAAGTGTGTCCCTGCCTCTCCTGGGGGAGAAGGGCGAACATGTCGCAGCTGTCGCAGCAGACAGCAACACCCATGACTCCCGCCAAGGCCATCTCCTGGTCTGCCATTAGGAACCCTTCAGAGACCCTACCTTGGTCCCCCACCTTGTCTGTCCTTCAGTACCCCTCACTTGCCCAGTTCTCCTAGACAAAAACCCACTCGCACACACATGGATAAAATAAAAATTTTAATTGAAGGAAAAACAAAGCAAAGCACAGCACAGCACAGCACAGCACCAAAAAAACCAAAAAAAGAAAAAGAAAGAAAAAGAAAAAACCCATAACCAACCAACCAACCAACCAACCAACCAACAAAACAATAAAACAAAAAACAAAACCCTCGCCCCCCTGGGAAGGGAGTCCCTGGGCAGCCTGGGCCACAGCTAAGGGATGCAGACAAGGGACGATGCCAAGAGGCAAGAGCCAAAAGGGCTTGCAGTGGCTGAGCACGTGGCCTTATCAGCCCCACAGGCTGGTGGCCCCGCCTGTCTACTTCCTCCTGGCCCCTCTGTCCTCTCTGGCCCTGCCTCCCTTCCTCTCTGCTGCTCCTGATCCTCTGCTCCTCTGCCCAGCTCCTACCTGGCCACTCAGCACTCTCTCCCCATCTGTGCCTCTGCTGCTCTGCCAAGAGGCAAGAGCCAAAAGGAAACATAGTTTCCTTCACTCTCTTGATCATTACCTTACCTTTGAAGTAACTTAGACTGCTCAGCTCCATGATTGAGTTGGGGACTAGAACCCAGATTTCAAAGGTCTCCAGTTAAACACTGGAAACCACACCACATTGACTCTCATTTAGATATTTTGAATCATATTATCATATTTGCAAATATATTTTGAAGAAAACATATTTATTGTGCAACAAAACCAGTGAAATACTGGGAATATATAGCTTCAGAAAACAAATGAATTCATTCAAATTAATTTTGTGTGATAAATTCAAAAGATTAAAAATTAGTTTGAGACTTGACAGATGTTTGCTACATTATGATAAGGAAACTGTTTGCCTTAAATATTAACATAATCCCATGGTCATCATTTCTTCTAGATTTTTATGGGCCTCCACGGGAGGTGGTTGAGGCCCCATTGGTAAGGGTGTTCAAGGATAGGCTGGACATGCACATTGTAGGCATGTTGTGAGTGGAGCTGGCTAGAGGCGGAGGTCAGACTAGATGGCCTGGGAGGCCCCTTCTGACTCCCTCTGTTTTTACGTTTCTTGAAAATATTCCAGTTTCTGTTCCCAAAAAGGATCCTAAATCTTGACAGAAACCTTTGAATAACTTTCTTTGGAGTAAATATAAAGCACATTTTGCCATGTTATCTGTCCAAGTACAATCAGAAGACTGACAGATTACAGAAATGGCAGAACTCACGAGAGGAGGGAAAACTAATCTTTCCATGAGAATCAGTTACCATTTATTACTTACATGCAAAGAAAATACCACTTAGAGACAGACAGCTATCAACCCTTGAGTTAATATGGAAATAAACCTATACATTTCAACTATTCTTAGGACATACATGTATATGAAAATTGTTGATATTCATGAATATCTATCATTACTTAATATTTCCTAATGAGCATTTAAATAATACTTTGTATATTGCTTTGTTGAATAATTTTGACTATTTGTGGGATTGGATTTCCATAAATAGGACTATTTAAGCCTTTTCTTTGTCAATGTATAAATAGATTTTTATAATTTATTGGCACTTGTGATAATAAAAATGTGTATTTACTTTTGATGCTTATTAGAAATAATGAAAATACTATAAAAGTGTAGAGCAATCCCATAGCTCCCTGGACAATATCTGAGGAAGCCATTATATGGTGCTGATCTCTTCCACAGCTGCAGACAGATCTGTGACCACTGGAGAAGATCTAATAATGGATCTTCCCACCTCCATTCAGACACCATAGAATGTTCTTTTATGAGTTGGGAGGGTGAAAAGAGGGTGTGCTGGTGGGAGCAAAGAGGAGAGACCAGGATCTGCAGAATCCTAAATCTTCTCTATCATTTGTCCTATCCAACAAAAGGTAAGACAACTAGAAAGCCTCTTGGTCTGTCCTGAAGTAAAAATTGAAAAACTGTGGAATAAGAAACATTTTTCCTTTGTCATCCTCATGGCCTGCTTGGTTTCTGCTCATGGGAGGCAGGATAAACAAAAGACTCAGGTCTTTTGAGCTCTGTCCGCTGAGAAGCAAACCTTGAGGAATGAATTCTGAGACAGGTATTTTTAAAGAAGATAATGGGATGGAATATAGTTTAGAAATATAAAAATGTGTTCATTGCTATCTGAGTGGGTAGGCAATAGGTATGTGTAAGGTTGCTGCATAGTTTCCTTCTTAATATTTGGTTGTGGTGCTATGTTTGTATCTGTAACATCTACTTGCTGTTTATATTCATAACAACAACACATTAAACAAAAGAGGGTTAGTTTAAAGTTACCTTTTCCAAATATTATTCCCCTGACACAAATTCTGCAGAGCACACAGAATGCTTTGTGCATTCTTCCTGGTGAATATTCTGCAGAGCTAAATGTTCTTTCCTGCAGACTTGAAGAAGTGCTTTTATATGATTAATATGGCATTTTTAATATTTTAACACTAAACCTGATGCATTTTTATTCTGTTTGCTATAGGCTGGAACATATTTGCCTCAGTCATATTTGATTCATGAACAAATGATAGTTACTGATCGTATAGAAAATGTGGATCAGCTGGGCTTTTTTATTCATCGCCTATGTCGTGGCAAAGACACTTATAAGTTGCAGCACAGAGAAACTCTGAAAGGTATAGCTTGTATGAAAAAATAAAATGGTCAACTCTGTGGAAAGTAATCCTTATGGATTGTGGACAAAGAACTATATTGTCAAACTGAACCATACATACATCCATTTATATAAGGCAGCAACATGGTGCATTTCAAATACTTTGGACTATGGTGCCTGTAACCCCTGACCATTGTCCATGCTGGCAATCCCTGACCATCACCCATGTGTCTGTTGGGCACCAGTTTAGGGAAACCTGGCCATGTGGCACAGTCCATCTAAAAAGTATTAACTCCTAAGCCCTATTCATTGAAGTGGGTGAGTTAAGCATATGGTTAAAACTTTCCCATTAAAATCAGTGGGACATCAACATTTTGATTTTTCACTGGGCCATTTCCAAGGCATTTAAATGGGTTGCAGCTTCACATGATAGCGCTATATGTTGATATAAATTGAGAAAGTTTTTAAAATCATTGTTTGGGACAGTGAATGGAAATCTATGAAACAAGTAGATTTGATTATTTGCTCTCAAGGGAAGGGAAAGCTGTGTTTGATCTGATGCAGAGGATCTTAATGTTGTGCAGTACAGTCCTGTGCATGTTTATATCTCTCTGTGCTCCATGCAGTGTATTCTGGTTTATGGACTAAAACTGTTTTAGTGGTGACTGTTGCTACACTAAAAGGTATGTGGTGTTATAGCTTGCTATCACCACTGCACTCTTCTGTTGGGTAGAGAGAATGACTGTTGATATGAAAGACAAGCCATGATGGGTTGTCTTGTTTTCTGGTTGACAAATGATGGTAGATTGGCATGGAAGGGGAAAACCAACTGCTTCCTGCAGTTTGTGAGCAGCAATCTACTCTGACAACCCATGGCTTTTTCTTGCGGTTGTTGGACCTATGATAGGTTGTCAGAACCTGAGTGACTGCCCTTTGTGACTGATCCAGGAAAACAGCTAATGAACTACTTGACACAAGCAGGAAAAATACCTTTCTGTACTTTCCAAGTCACCACCAGCAATAGCCATCTTACCATCACCCAAGTGATTCAGTCCGTGGCTCAGTGCCCACTGCTGCATTTGCAAGGCCATTTCACTTGCTGTGGCTTTTCCTCCCATCCCTGCTTTTTAAAGACCCTAGATGCTTGGAAAAGTGGAAAAGCGAGAACCACTCCCTCTGTGTTCTCTAGGAACACAGAGCTTTCAAAGCTATCAAAACTCAGACTTACTTTTAAATGACAGTTTCTGACAGTGATAATCAGGGTTTTATGGCAGAGACATATTCTCATGAATGAGACTGAGTCCCTGTCAAAAAAAAAAAAAAACAAAAACAAAAAAAAAAACTCCTTGGGTAGCCCTGTCAGAACCTGTTTTAAAAGGAAGCTGTCCAGACTCAGAGCACCTTAAGGGAAGACAGGAGAAAGCACTGGTTGTTAGAACAGGTCTAGCGAGGTGAAATCAAAAAGGCAGCAGAAAGAATGGATTGAGAAGGCTCCCCAGTGGTGGTGACCTGCAACACCTCCATAATGTTTAAAAGGAACAACTAGATTCCTGACATGTTGGTAACTTCCTCCAACAGAAAGTAAACACCTGTCCTTGACTTGATACTAACCAACAGGGAAGACCTAGCAGACAAAGGGGAAGCTATTGAAACCCTGGGGAAAATTAACTGTGCCATACTTCAATTCTTGATTCTAAAGGAAACAAAAGCCAGATCTGGCTGAACATGTACCCTGGATTTTAGGAAAGCCAATTGGAATAAACTCAGAACAATGGTAAACGAAGTTCCACGGCAAATGATTCTAATGAGAAAAGGAGTCCAAGATGGGAATTAAAAATAAAAGAAATTTTAAAGACACAATTACAGAAACCAGCAGGGATGGCATCACAGGAGATGCTTCTCTGCCGGCCCTTTTAAGGCCTCAGCTGAGACAGCAGCTGCTTTCCCACTCTAGAGTGTTAGAAACATTTTGGGGGTAAAGAATAAGGCAACATTTCTTGCACTTAGTTGCTTTTGAAAGCAGAATCTGATTAATGTTGGAGCAAAAGTGGGGTTGGGACACACCTGCTACAACCAAGATTTGTTAGAGTCATACTATCTACATTTATTATGGGAATGATTCTATATTGGGAATATAAATTTTCTTCATTACATTAAGTTTTGCTTGCTTACTTGTTTCACTTAAGACAGTTTATCTTTCTTAGTAAACAAAATAGAGCTATTTTTCTTAATGAAATAACTTGATACCTTGTTAATTCTCTCATAACAGGAATTCAGAAGCGTGAAGCAAGTAACTGCCGAAAAATTAGACACTTTGAGAACAGATTTGCTGTGGAAACACTCATTTGTGAAGAATAGTAAGAAATAATATTGTAATGAAAAACTGAAAAAACACATTGGCCCTTTGATTATATGTAGTGATTTTAAATTTAAATCATTTGCTCAAGTAAGCAAAGTGGAAAAGGCTTTAGCCTTGATATTTGTTTCATGATACACTTTTATCCTTTTTTTCATATTTTGAAGCATGGTGTCCTCTTTATGTATTTGAATAGCACCTATATAAATTTGTAGTTGTTAGGGCATTTTATGTAACAAACCTTGAAAAAAATAACAGGAAGTCAACAATGCTTCATATCTTATAGTAAAATTGCATAAAATAATTCCTCTCACTGGAAAACAAAAAACGCATGTTTAAATAGAATATGACACTTGAGATTTTTAACAGCATATTCACTAACAACACAATTAATGATATGGTTGATTACAGCATATTGGTGAAATAAAATGCAGTTTCTTTTGTGGTTTTATGTGTTTTAATGCAATTTCAGATAGTTTGATTTCCAACTGTATATTTAATATAACAGCCTGCTGTAACAAAATCAAGCAGGCACTTCATGTTAATGGCATGTGTATAAGTTAAGTATGTGCAATGGAAAATAAATATTACAAATCTGTTTGTCTAAATATTTTTGTAAGTTCTGGTACAGTTTCTTTTAGATGACTGACTTTGAATTACTGTATTTTATGATAATGTCCATTAGAAAAAACACAACACTGTGAAGTAGGCTGGGCTGAGAGTCCGTGACTGGCCCAAAGTCACCCAATTGACTCCATGGGGACTAGAACCTAGATTGCTTGAGTCCCAGTCCAGCACTCTGAACCAGTACACCTCACTGGCTCGCAACCTGTATATTCTTATGTGTAGTTTAAAGCATCGGTCCTCAAACTACAGACCGTGGGGCGGATATGGCCTGCCACGCTCATTTATCCAGCTCACCTCAGAGCTTTTGGAGTTGCTCAGAGAAAACGATATCCGAGCGAGTCCAAAAGCTCTGAGCCAACGCAGGCATTCTCTGAAACTGAGCAGAGCCGGTGCACTTGACAATTGTAATAGCTCAGTAGCATCCACCGGATTCCCCCTGCCCCCTCACTGCACGTATATACACAGCAGGAATAGGGAGCGGGAAACAGAAGAGAGGAGGGCAGAAGAGAGACACACAGACGCTAAAAAAGGATTGAAGGTAAGAAAAATATAACTTTTAAAATCCATTTTTAAGTATGTGAGCCATGTCCCCAGGCTGCGGGCCAAACCGCAGCCAGCTCACCGAGCTTGGGGGCGGACAGGCTGAGGTGGAGTGGGGCTGCAGCTCCCACGCCTCTGCCACGACCTTCTATGGGCAGCTGCTGCCATTGAGTGGCCACCATGCTTCTTTCCCCCACGGCGGAGAGAGGTGGGAGGCACCCTACTTGGCCAGCCATGGCCCTATCCCTCGCCTCCCCTTGCCTCAGAAGCCCTCACCACCTCCCCCTCCTGGCCAGGGGAGCCACCCCACGCTCGCCTCTCCAGTCTTCCGCTCCCTCGGAATTGGGGCTTTGGCGAGGAGTATAATTTCCATTATGCCCAACCAGCACGGCCAATGGAAGTTGTAGTTCAACTCATCTGGGCAGTACCAGTTTTGGCAAGGTTGCACTTAAAATATGATAGTCATTAGCTCTGCATTCAAATACAGCCATTGTGTATTGTGGGAATTGTTCTGGGCTGACTTGCTTCAAATACTAAGAGTGGCATCAACAGTATTTATCCTTAGTATTTTTGCTTCATTCTTTGTAAATGCCAGTTACAGTCAGCAGCTGCATTATGCAAAATACAGTAAAACCTTGGATTGCGAGTAACTTGCTCTGCAAGTATTTCGCAAGATGAGCAAACATTTCTAATAAATTTTAACTTGATAAAGGAGCGATGTCTTGCAATACGAGTAGTACATGATGCCGAACATCACATGATCATAACTTAGCCAATGGTTCTTCTCTCTCGCTCGCTGCTGTCCTTCAACTCCTAACATCCCTCCAGGAAGGGAGGGTATGCTGGGAATTACAGAACTGTTTTCCTGTCTAAACATGCATAGGATTGCACTGGAAGCAGCTTTAAGCTGAGATCATTTCCTTTTTGGTTACTGCAAGGCATACGCTCATTCTGAAGACAAAGGGGTTGGTTTTATTAGACTCTTGGGTTGTTTAGTTCTGTGCACTGACATTGACTAACTTAAATCAGGTTCTATTTAACTGTTCCAATGATTTGGTGCATATTTGGTGCTTTGTTGTGAAGATCTGTTTAAAAATCTTGTCAGGTCTTAACTGTGGACTTCAAGGCTTGTGTGGGAGGAGTACATGATGTGTTGTACTACAAGGTTAGAGTCTTGCATCTGCTTTACCTTTCAGTATCTCCCTCTTGGGGGAGGGGGGATACTGAAAGGTAAAGCAGATGCAAGAGGTTATGGAGAAAATCTCATCTACAGAGGAGGAGGAGGAGAAAAAGGCGGAGGAATCCCTCACTTCAAATGAGATTAGGGAGATGTGTAAAATGTGGGAAACAGTGCAAAATTTTATAGAAATGCACCACCCAAAAAAGGCTGTAGCAGTGCAAGCAATGAATCTGTTTAACAACAATGCAATGTCACATTTCTGTGAAATCCTCAAAAGGAGGCAAAAGCAAGTGTTATTGGATAGGTTCCTTGTTGAAGTTGCAGGAAAAGAAAAAGATTCCATTGAGCCAGTTGGGTTGTGGAATGAATCATCTGAACTTCCATTATTTCTTACTCACTTTGATATACAAGTGCTCTGGATTACAAGCATGTGTCCGGAACGAATTATGCCCACAAACCAAGGTTTTACTGTACTGTATTTAGTGCCTTGGTTGTGTTGTAGCTACATAATGTCCCTTGAATATGGACATATTCTTCCCCACCTCATCTTGGGCTTCTGCTGCAGCCCGAGGGAGCGGAACAAACATTTTTTAAATTAATTTTTTAATGTTAATTATTTTTTAATTTTAATGTGCAGTGTGCATAGGAATTCTTTCATTTTTTTTCAAACTATAGTATGGCCCCTCAACAGTCTGAGGGACAGTGAACTGGCGCCATCTAAATAGTTTGAGGACCCCTGATTTAAAGCATACAATAATTATAAAATAAACTATGCATTAATATATGAGGTATATTTCAAATGTCATGATGTGAACTGCTTTTGTCTGCATGCGAAATGATAGACATCGTAAATAAGTAATTAAACATTAATGGGGTATCTAAAAAGGAACCTCAGAAAGAGGAAAAGGGAGGCTTGGCCAGGTCCGAGGAAGAGGCTACAACAGAAGGGATGAAAATCAGCATCAGAAACTCAGGGCACGGCAGCTCAATAGTACTTTGCAAGCAAACGCTTCGACAGGTTTCTTCGCAGCCAAATTTCTCTGCCAAGCCTTTCACAGTGCCAGACGCCAAAGAACTCCTTCGACCTTTGCGTGCGCACGGGCAGGTTTTATGTATGACTTTTCCGGTTTTCCGGCGTCTTCCCTCCCTCCCGCCATCGCGCGCAATCTTCACAGATTGCAGAAGAATCTACAGGCAGAAAATAGAGGGAGCGCCGTACGAAGGCGGGCACAAGCAACACCAGGCTTGCGGCGAAAAACGGAAGCTGCTGTTCGTCTTCCTACTCCCAGAGCTTCTTTATGTTGGAACTGCGGCTTTCGTTGGATACGTCAATGGGAGCCAAATTGCACTTAGGATGCCGGCAGCAGCGGCTGCGGTATGCAAACCCAGGCTCTTAAAGCCACGTCAGAGAGGCCTTCCCTTCCGTTAGCCCTGGACAGGAAGTTACGCGAACTGGGCGTGCAGGGGTTTCCCGCGGTTTGAAAGGGCCGCGGAGGCGATGGGGCGGGGATGAGTGGAAGAACCCGCTGCCGGCTGGAATCGTTTGGTGGTGGTTTGAAGTTGGGATTAAATTTTTCGGCGGAGGCGCCCAACATGGCGCCAACTATTCCTCCGAGGAAAAAGGAAGCCGGCCCGGAGGCCCGGAGCGATCCCGAGGCCATGTCGGCCGCCGACAGGTTAGTGGCTGAGCGCGGGGTTTCCGTGGCGATGGAAGGCGCGCTCTGTGCGTCGGGCGACCCTTGTGCAGACTCGGGCGCGGCGTGCTGCGGCGCCTTGCCGTCTTTTGCTGACGGAACGAAGGAAGCTCGGCGCTCCTCCCCGCAGGGATGGGTGCTGCCTGGAATTAGAGTCGTCTCCGTCTTTGTGAATGTTTTACAAATTGCTTGTTTCTCTGTATTTTTTTTCGTAAAGAAAGTAAACTTAAGCTATTCAAAAGAAACGGTTTGAGAAGGGAAGCCACGTTGTATGTTTTAACAAGAACAGGGACCTATGTGCTGCCTTAAGGATTTAACTGTAAGCTGAGTATCTCTCATTTGCAAGTCGAGACACACAAAAATATTCCTGTCGTGGTGCAAGCAAGCAAGCCTCAGAGCTTGAGAAGATGCCAAGAATACCTTACAATCTACCCTGTGACTGTGTGACTGATGCTTGTGAGCAGCGGTTATTTCTAGTTACTACCGATCAAGAAAATTTATCAGGACGCTATGGATGCAAGGTTCACCTGCAGCAGAAGCCTCTACATTAGCTTTGGTGAACGCTAGGCACAGATTTCGTGGCAGATAATTAAGTGTTTCCTTACTTGATTAATTTTAGGCTCTGCTTAAGTGCATCCATTAGTTCTGCTGCCCCACAAATTTTGCTCTGCACAGATGGCTGTTAACGCCTCGTATGTGGAGGTTGGTGAGGACCTGCTTGGATATTGTTTGGATGTCAGCCACAGCTTCCTCCCATCCATGCCTCTCTTCCTCCTTTCCAAGGCTTGTTTCAGGCCTCAGAGGCAGTTGGTATGATTTCTTCCATGTTGGTTATGAGTGAGGCAGGGACTCTGCATTCAGAGTGCTAGCTCCAACCCTGAAGGACCTTAGCACCAAAGCTCCAAACAATCCAGTTTATTATTCTTTGAGTCAAGGGATCACTATTTTTTTAATAGTGTAAGAAAAGCCATCTAATCCAGCACACTGTCTACATGATACTTCAGGCAGGATGGGTACAAGAGTTATGCCTGCCTGAGCTCTTCAGCAATTGGTGTATGTAGGCATGTTGCCTCCCATAATAGAGGTAGCACATACCTAGTAAGGCTAGTAATCATTTATAGCTTCCTCTTTCTCTATGAATTTGTTCAGTCCTTTTTAAAAGCCATGAAAATTGGGGGTCATCACTACTTTCTGTGGTAGTAAATTCCATAGTTTAACTACATGCTGTGTGATGGAGAATTTCCTTTTATCCGTCCTGAATCTCTCACCAGTCAGCTTCATGGGATGACCCCTGGTTCTAGAATTATGGAAGAGGGAGAAAATGATATATCTACATTGTGCATACTTTTAAACACCTATATAATGTCTCCCCTTAATCACATTCTTTCTAAACTAAACAATTCCAGTTGTAGCCATTCCTCATAGGGGAGTTGCTCAAACCCCTTGCTTATTCTAGTTGCCATTCTCTGCACTTTTCCCAATTAAATTTTGTCCTTTTTCAGGTGCAGCAACCAGAACTGTATGCAATATTCTAAGTGCAGCTGCACAAAACATTTGTATAAGGGAAATGTGGTCTTACTGTTCTATTTTCAGTTCCTTTCCTAATTGTGCCCAACATGGTGTTTGCCTTTTTAACAGCAGCTGTACACTGGGTTGACATTTGCATCAACCAGTCCATGCCACCCAATCCTTATCTTGGTCCATTGGTGCTAGTTTAGATTCCATCAGTCTATACTTGAAGATGGGATTTTTGGCCTCAAAATATATTACTTCATATATGCTTACATTAAGCCATATTTACCGTTCTATTGGCGATTTTCTTCGCCTGGAGAGATCCATATAACTCCAAAAATCTCTTCTGCTTTTAACCACCCTAAATAAGTTGGGCCACATGTATAACATGATGAGGTGGTTTGAGAGTGGTAGAGAATCTGAGAGTCATTCCATCAGGCCAGACTGTCTCACTATTTTAGTTTACTAGCAATGTTGCCCAAGACAGAATGGTCAAAACTGAGACACCAGACAATGATGCATTCATCCTTTTCCGGAGCAACAGCCACAGCAGCAGAATTGATCTCTCTAATGATGGGGCAGAGAAAATTCTGAAGGATAACTACTGAGCAGCAGTAGTAGTTGAAGGCGACACTGCTGGAAGATCTTCCAAAGACAACAGCAGTGGCAGCCATACTAACTCTGGTTAGTACTGCATTGGAGAAGGCTACGTTAAACCACTTCTGCATCTTCTTATCTTGTTTATTCAATTTATATGCTGCCTACTAGGCGTAAGCTCTCTGGACAGCTTATAACATGTTAAAATATAAAAACATAAAACAATATAAACATAATATGACATTCAATATGACTTAAACCATTCTTTTCTAAGCTGAGGTCCTTTTCATTGAAAACCTTATGATGAAATGATCCAAAATGAAAGTACAGTGCCAAAAGATGAACTCCCCACGTGGGAAGGCATTCAACCAGTTACTGGGAACGAACAAAGGACAGGTATGAATAGCGGTATTGGTAATGATCAAAGACAAGAAGCCATATTGACATGCTCAGAGGTGAAAGGAAAGCCTTACACTGCACACCACATACAATTTGAACCTGGATTGTGGGACATATGAACTGTGATACACTGGAAAAGTAAATCAAGCAAGAAAGAAGTTGCATTCTTGCTGCCAGTACGAGACCAAATTTTCATGGTGACTGTTAATTCTTAATTTCAAAAAACAGAGTAAGTTGAAAAGAGAAGCATAGACCCAAAATACAATCTCAATAATTTTCTTGAGGAATTTAAAGTTCATATTGAGAACATAATTGCATTACTGAACTCAGTTGGCCATGGAAGGACTGAAAATTGAAACTGGAGGCATTATTAGGAAAGAATGCCAAAAAAGACAATTCCTGTAGCAAAAAGAAAAAGCCTGGATGGATGATGGAAGAAACACAAATGACAGGTGAGAAGCAAAAGGTGACAGAATTAGGATATGAAGCCTGAATGCGGTTTTTCAATAGAGAAATACACTAGAGACAAAAAGGATTATTATAATGATCAGTACAAAGAAAAAGGAAGAGCAAAGGAAGAGTAAAGAGGAAAAACAAGTTACCTTTTGCAGAAAATCCAAGAAATCAAAAGGAAATTCAAATCTAGATTAAGAATGCTGAAGTCTAAATAAGGGCACATACTATTTGACCAGGAGAAAATAAAGAGGAGGAGGAAACAATATATGAAAGAACTGTACAGAAGAGATGAAAAGACAGCAGACTACTTTTAAGAGCCTGCAATATCAGAAAGCAAAGTGAAAACTCTTGGAAAGAACAAAGCTCCCAGAGAAGATAGGCTACCAATAAAACTATTTCAAGCTGTAGAGACTGAATAGTCCAAATCCTAACAAGAATTTGCCAACAAATGTTCAGAAGAAAACAATGGCTGAAAAATAGGAAAACCTTGAGATATACTCCAATCTCCAAGAATGAGTTGCTAAGGGATGCCACAACCATAGCAATATTGCACCAATTTCCCATGCAAAGTGATGCTCAAAGTGTTACAACAAAGAATGTTACCCTGTGTAGAGCGAGAAATGCCTGAGAAGGAGGCACTTGAGATTATATCACAAACATACTGAAAAGCACCAAAGAATTTCAGAAGAAGATCAATCTGTGTTTTATCGACTTCAGTAAAGTTTTTGACTGTGTAGATCATGGGTCCTCAAACTACAACCCGGGGCCAGATCCAGCCCACCATGCCCATTTATCCAGCCCGCCAGAGGTTTTGGACTTGCCACGCACCTGTGCGGCACAGCGCCGGCTTGCTTGCAAGGAGATCGTTTTGGACTCGCTCGGAGAAAACGATCTCTGTGCACGCCCAACCCTACTTTGCTGCCCGCACCCCCCATCTGCACCGCCTTGGCAGCCCGCGCCCATTGCCAGCACCTTTCAACTGGCCCCCTGTTCAAGAAGTTTGAGGACCCCTGGTGTAGATCATGGGTCCTCAAACTACAGCCCACGGGCCGGATCCAGCCTGCCATGTCCATTTATCCCGCCCTCCATAGAGGTTTTGGACTCGCTGCATGTGTGCATGTGTGACAAGGCGGAGGCTTGTGTGGAGATCCTTTTGGACTCACTCAGAGAAAAAGGATCTTGTGAGCAAGCGTCCGCCTTGCAGTGTGTGCGCCCAGTGGCAGCTTGCAAGCAAGGAGATAGTTTTGGACTTGTTTGGAGAAAAAGATCAGCTTGTGAGCAAGCTGGTGCCTCGCCACGTGCACACGTCTCCCCTGACCCGCACCTCCCCGCCCACACTGCCTTGGTGGCCCACGCCCATCGCCGGCACCTTTCAACTGGCCCCCTGTTAAAAAAGTTTGAGGACCCCTGGTGTAGTTCATGAGAAGCTTCCAGGTTTTTAACTGTATTTGTAAGATACCTATTTCTGTGAGCTGTCCCTAGGCTGTGTAGCAAGGGGACGGCATATAAAAACTTTAAATAAATAAGCAAGCTGTGGATAGTGCTGAAAGAAATGGGTGTGCTTCAGCACTTGATTGCCTAGTGAATGTTGTTGTTGTTGTTGTTGCTAGTCCGGAAGTCGTGTCTGACCCATTCGCAACTAGCAACATTCCTCCAGGCCTTCCTGTCCTCCACCATCCCCCGGAGTCCACTTAAGCTCATGCCGACTGCTTCATTGACTCCATGTAATCACCGTCCCATTCTTCTTTTGCCCTCAATTGTTCCCAGTATTGGGCTCTTCTCCAGTGAGTCCTTCCTTCTCATTAGGCGGCCAAAGTATTTGAGTTTCATCATCAGTATCTGCCCTTCTAAAGAGAAGTCAGGGTTGATCTCCTCTAAGACTGACTGGTTTGATTACCTTGCAGGCCAAGGGACTCACAGGAGTCTTCTCCAGCACCACAATTCAAAGGCCTCAATTCTTTGACGCTCACCCTTCCTTATGGTCCAACTTTCACAGCCATACATCGCAACTGGGAAAA